TTGCTATAGGGTGCGTGCGCTCGCCAGACAGACAGAGAGAGACATAGACACAGAAAGCGAGAAATCACCCCCCAGGGGGGATGGTCATGCCGCAATCCCTTCTCCTCCATTCTCCTCTCGAGATCTTGGGCACGCACGCACACGTGCCCGGCGTGAGTTTTAAGCCACCAGGTCCAGGACGCGAACCGCAGTCGACTACGTGGGAGTCCAGCGACATAGCCATTACGCTAACTGCTGGTTCCCAAGAGGATTATCTCTTCTTGAGGGAAGTACGTTGCAGGTAAAAAAAGCAAATATTACTTTGTGGAATGACATATCAATCCCCCATAAACTGAGTTTTAGAGAGCCATAAAGCAGATCTCAGTGGGGCATTTTATCTGTCTGTCTGTCTGTCTATCTATCTATCTATCTATCTATCTATCTATCAATGAGTTTCACAATGATCTTAAGACAATATAAATGCAACTCAAAGAATGCCCATTGGTAAAATAGCTTTTTTAAGGAAACACTAAGTTGGATGTATAATTGAAGTCAGTTTGATTAAAAATGATCTTATTAATCAAAATCTGGCATTTCCTAGGAGGCAGAGATGAGTAGGGATTGAGATAAGAGCTCTATAAATGAGGAAGAAATGGAGCTGGACTTGATGGACAAGAATGAGATTAGTGTTGTACTAGACAAAGGACCAATACATCCATCCATTTAGACAACTTTTTAAGGGTCAGCTGCATTAAGTGCAGTTCCTCAGGAGCCAGATTACACATGACTGACAGTGGTTTGAATCCAGCTTCAGTAGCTTTAACAATGCTTTCCACCTCTTGAGAGCACTTGAGTTGTTACTATTTTTTATTCTAGACATTCTAATAGTTTTGTGATGATAGAGACGTGTGCATACCTAAAATCCTGATGGGAAAGAGAAATGATTAGGGGAAAAAACTGATGTGACTATGTCCTACTGAGGGGTGTTTTCTCTCTCCCCTCTCTTTTGCATGCATGCCAGTGCATGTAACTCCTGCTAATTAAAGGGAAAAAACCTAAGCAACTTTTCAAATAATGAAGACAGTCATGCCAAGTAGGCCAGATACCCCTAGTTCTGTAACCCTGCTCTACATCATGTCATTCATCAAGCTTGCGCACTTTGAGTTATTTCCTCAGGATTATTTTGAATATCTCACTTCCACTTCCAAATGTGAAAATTTTAACAGGTAAGAATAATCACACATAGGCCCTACTGATACTTTAAAAAATATTTTTTAAGATTTCTGATAAAGTCCTTCAAAGACAGGCCACACTATTTCTTCATCTTCCTGATATGACAATAATCTTCAACATGATTTTCAGCATAAAAAACAATACAGACAAATCCTATGTACTCTTTACTCAGTGTTCCCTGATGATAATATCTTGCAAACCTGTAGTATAATATCAAAACCAAGTTATAGAACATTTCCACCACCACAAGAATTCCTCACATTACCCGTTCAAGCCACATCCTCTTTCCTGCCTCCTTTACCTGATTTGTTGTTTGTTTTTTGTTTTTGCTACAGGGCACATGCAGTGACCATTAAGAGAAGGAGAGAGGGAAAGTGAGAAATCACCCCCCAAGGAGGAGGGCTATGCCACAAGCCTTTCTCCTCCACTCACCTATCAAGATTTGGGCACACATGCATAAGCGACCAGTGTGACTTTCAAGCCACTGGGTCCAGGACTCAATCCACACAGTTGGCCATGTGGGATCCAGCATTTTAACCTTCATGACAACTGCTGGCCCACTTGCACTCCCATTTTTTTTTAAGAATTATTTATTTTATTTATTCATTTATTTATTTTAATTTGACCAGAGAGACACAGGGAGACAGAGAGACAGAGAGAGAAAGTGAGAAAGCCACCAGGTCTGGGACTTGAACTGTGGTCAGTCATGTGGGAGTGTCCAGCATCTTAACCGCCACGCCACCTGCTGGTCCTGCCATCACATTTTTAACACTTGACAACCACTAATCTGTTCTACATTTCCATAATTTTTCCTTTTCAAGAATATTATGAAAATGAAATCAAACAATCTATAATCTTAGGGATCAACTGTTTTTTACTTAGCACAATTCTCTGATGATTCATTCACGTTGTTACATGTATCAGTAGCTCATCAGATTTTTTTATTGCTGAGTAATATTCCATGAAACAGATGTGCCATATTTTCTTCAATCATTCACCTGTTGAAGGATGTGGAAGTTGTTTCCAGTTTATAAATGTTACAAATAAAACTGTCACAAATATTCATATATACATTTTTGTATAAACATGATCTTTATTTCTCTGTGATAAATGCCTGGAGGTGAAATTACTGAGTTGTATGAAAGTTACATGTTTGGCTTTCAAGAAACTGCCAAACTGTTTTTCAGAATGATATAACATTTTATATTCTCATAAGCCTATATATAAGAGGAATCTTGTTTCTCCACATCTTGATAGCACTTGAGTTGTTACTATTTTTTATTCTAGACATTCTTAATAGTTTTGTGATGATATCTCATTGTTGTTTTCATTTTAATTTCCCTAGTGGCTAATGATATTGAACAACTTTCATGTGCTTATTTATATCTGCACGTTCTCTTTGGTAGAATGTCTGTTTTTACCATTTGTTCATTTTCTTATTAGATTACTTGGGTATTTAACTGTAGAGTTTTGAGAGTGTATGTATACAATTTTTTTCAAGATACAAGTTCCTTGTCAGATAGATAGTTTGCAAATATTTTCTCCAAGTCTGTGGTTTATCTTCCCATCTTCTTAACATAGTCATTTGTGGATAAAATATTTTTAATTGGATCAAAACCAGTCTACCACATTTTTTAATGATTCACACTTTTGTGTAAAGTCTAAGAAATCTTTGACTAATCCCAGATCGCAAAGATTTTCTTCTATTTTTTCCTAAAAGTTTTACTGTTTTATGTTTACATTTAAATTCAGTGCCCTTACAGTTAGAGGGCTAGACAAATTATCTGTTTTATATCAGGTGTATAGATTGTGTTTTGGGGGGAAGTCTATTTCATCTAAGTCATCAAATGTACATGTACAGGGTTGTTTGCAGTATTTTTTTATTATCCTTCTGACTTCCCCAAGATCTGTAAAGAATTCTCCTGGTTTACTCATGAAACTGCTCATTTTTGTCTTTTTTGTTTTTGTCCATCTTTCGAGAGTTTTGTCAATTATATTAATGTTTTCAAAGAACTAGCTTCTTCATTATTTTCTTTATTGTTTCACTGTCTTCTTTACTCTCTTCAAGGTCATTGATTTTAGCACTCTCTATATATAAAATATAAATATATATTATATCTATATCATATATATTATAGTGCAATATGATATATCATCATATATAATGTTTATAATATATACATACATGTATTATATATGGTATATATAATATATATAAAATAGATTCAATCATTGTATATCATTACAGCATGTAAAGTGAATTTTCCCAGCATGAATACATTGCATATTAGTCCAGTTAAAGATTTTAGCACTTTTTTGTTTTATTATCTCTTTCATTCTTCTTGTTATGGGTTTATTTTGCTGTTTTTTAAATTCTTGAGAGGGGAGATTAGATTATTGATTTGAGATTTTGTTTTCTTGTCAGGTATATGCATTTAATGCTATAAGTTTTCTTCTCAGAACTATTTTAGCTATATGGGAAACTATTCTGCCCAAACCAAAGAGAACACACAGGTCAAGCTGTATTTAAATAGCTCAAAATGATAATGATTTGAGAGGCACTGGCTTCACTCTTTAGAAGTTTGGGGCAAATTACTTCACCTCTCTAAACCTAGGTTTCATTGTCTGTAAAATAGGATTTATACGGTACCTACATCAGGATTAAATGATAAAATATATCTTAAAAACATGCATATGTGGTATCTTTAAAATGTCACAGACAGTCTCACCAGAGAAAGGAAGGAAGAAACTTTTCATCCAGATTGCATGCTATTCATGTCCCCTCTCACCTCTTCACTCTGCCCCCCTACCCCCAGGACCAGCCAAAGCAAGGCAGGAGACCATCTGCAGCTCCACCATGCCTCACTCACTACTCTGCCCTACAGACAGTCTTTGAAGAAAGGAAGAAAGAGACTTTCCATCAGTTTCCTAAAATTCAAAGCACATCCCCCCAAATGTGAGAAAAAACACATAATATCTCTCATTCAAAGGATCACAAAACTCCCCACCAACAATGAAAAGAAAAGAAGAAATCACAAAAGTGTCACAAAAAGAATTCAGAATATTCATCATAACAAAACTCAAAAAGATACAAAAGAAAGAGATAACCAATTCCAGGAGGTAAGAAAATCATTCTATGATTTGAAGGAGGAATTCCATAAAGAGATAGATACCCTAAAAAAAAAAAAAAAAGAATCAAACAGAGCTTCTGGAGATGTAGACTATAATACAAGAAATCAAAACCTCACTTGAAAGTATTAACAGCACATTAGACCATGCAGAAGAAAGAATCTCTGACCTTGAAGACAAAACTTCTGATTTAGTCAAAGCCACCAAAAAGAATGGGAAAATAACCATATAAAATGAGGGCAACAGGGCCAGCAGGTGACATGGTGGTTGGAGTGACAGGATTCCACACAGTGAGTGTGCAGCTATGATTGAATAGTATTCCATAATGTATATGTGCCACATTTTTTCAATTCCATAAGGAACAATGAGACACTGTCTACTAACTCAAAAGTGACTGAATATGGAAGACTTTCCCACATGGCCAACTGCAGTTAGAGTCCCAGACCTAGTGGCTTCCTTTCTCACTTTCCATCTCTCTCTCTCCTTCTCACTCTGTTCCTATCTGGTCAAATTAAATAAATTAAGATAAATTAATTAAATTAAATTAAATAATTCTTTTAAAAAATAAATCTAAACATCTGAAGATATGATAATAGGGAGGGTAACTATAGATACCAGAGTCTATAGGGGAGGGAAGTGGTTAAGAAAGGGTAAGTGGGAGAGGCAAAGGGAAGAAGCACGTAACAGACTCAAGAATGTAAAACTCTCTATTGAAAGTATTGTATATGGCAATATCCTTGGTTTGATTGTTGAAAATAAATAATAAAATGGGGGAAATTTTTTAATTATAAAATAAATAAAATGTAAGCATTAAATAAATATGTCAGACAGGCAAATTGAATTATCTAAAACAGACCTGGTTCATGGTCCAAAACTAAATTCTAAATTAACAACAATATCCAAACTGTATCCATTCTTCTCTACTCTATCTTTGTCTTCATCAGTCCTTCATTCTTCAAGGAATCTTGATCTTCACTTCTCTGATTTTCGTTAGAAAATCACCTGAACTTAAACAACAACAACAACAACAAAAATCTTCTAAGGAATCTCACTGAAAATTGCTCATGCATACATGTTTAGCTCGCTGTTTCTGAGAGACAATAAATTCAATGGAAAAGACAGAACTTTCTAAATAAATTCATGAGAATAGATAGTTTTCAAAATTACTACAAGATAATTACCAATGGACTTTGCAATTTAGATTCCTGGGCTTCCAAGACAATAAAAAATAAGATTTAAGTTCTGCTCATAGGCATTATTTTTAAATGAATTAAAGCCAACCTTATTACTTACTCTAATTTTAATAACTTACCCATCAAGCTCAGCAGTTTCAATATAACAGAGACCATGTGGCTCACTACTTGATAGGAGAAGCAAATCAGCCTATTAAAAAACAAAAAGAAGAAGAAGACAAATACTTAAGAAGGGAAGATTGGTTGAAAGTCTTCTATGTTGCATCACCCCTCCCCTACTAATAGGCTAATAAGGACTTAGAAACAAAATGAGAGGGATGAGCTCCTTTCCTACCTCTATGTCATACGCCCTAAATCAAACCCTCCTTCTCTATTCCTACTTCATGTGTCTCCTGACAATCACAATATAAGCAAAGGCAGGGAATATCATATAAATTAATAGCCACTTGATTTACCTTTTTGAAAGAAATTTATAAATTCTTTTTTCTTGCTCTGATAATTATTAATAGAAAATAAAAATCTCTCTTGGGGCCAGATGGTGGTAGAGCAGTAAAATGTGATGCTCTGAGGCAATTATACATGGGAAGCTTCCCAATTCAAGTACAGAGATCTTTGGTATGTTGAGCATGTGCATGCCCATGATCCTGGCCTGGCAGAAGGCTGGGGGTAGATCACTGCCTCAGGACCCTGTTACAGGTCATATCTCTCTCTCTCTCTCTCTCTCTGTCTCTTTCTCTCTCCTCCTGTCTCATACATGAAAGAAAGAAAGAAAGAAACATAGAAAGAAAGAAAACTTTACTAGATAGATAACTCTTCAATATATTAATTAGAAATATTTACATACACATATTTTAAACACCTAATATAATCAGTAAGAGCAGGGAAAATGTAAAGAAGATGGGAAAAGGAAGTGAAGAAGAAGACTAAAAAGAATAAAATTTAAAAGGAGGCAAAGAAAAAAAAGAGAAAAAAATGAAAGAAAAATAAAATGAAAAGATAAGAAAAAGATGGTGGAGACTAAGAAAGGGGAAAAAGAAGATAAAGTAGGGACTAAGCAGGAGAGCAAGGCAGAAAAAGAAATGTAGTAAAAGACAGTAGGAAAAAAAATTCAGAAACTGAATAGTTTGCTTTTTTCAAAAATAGTTCTGTTCTTCTGTCTATTGGCTTTGAAAATTATCTGTCACAATCAGTTTTAGAATTCTAGTAGCTTGGGACCAGCAGGTGGTGTGGTGGTTAAGGCATTTAACTCCCACATGGCCAACTATAGTTCAAGTCCTAAACCTAGCAGCTTACTTTCTCACTTTCTCTTTCTCTCTCTCTCTCTCTCTCTCTCTCTCTCTCTCTCTCTCTCTTTTCTCTCTCTCTCTCTCTTTCTCTCTCTGGTTGAATTTTTAAAATAATAAATAAAATAATTACTTAAATAATAAACTCAAGTAGCTTTCTAGCTCATGAAATTGCTTTTCTATTTTATTTCAGATTGCAAGTTTATTTAAAAATAATTATTTTAATGAAATTCTGAAGGATTTGAAAGTCTCAATTGGCTTAAATTTCAGCAATTTATTTTGAGATATTAGTATAATAATTTCCTAGCTATGTTTGAATGTACAATTAACATTTCAAATCTGTGAAATCTTACCTTTGTTCTTTAAAATGTTAGAATTGCCTCATTCACAAGTCCTAGAGGCTAAATTTAGAATTAATATGCTTATTTTATTGTCTCAAGCTTTTACATTTCCAGCTCAAAAATAGGCTCAGGATGGGTGGGTGTAAATAATTTTGCCCAAATTTGAGTAAAACAGAGCTGAACAAACCACAGCAACAGCTCCTAAAGAACAAATGAGTTTGCACTATCAAGAGTCTCCCACAACTCTGAATGAAAAAGCCACAGAAGATTCCTGAGGCAGATATTATTTAATGACTTGTCACAGTGAAAACATGGCAAATCTATAGAACATGTCAAAAGCGTATGCCACTCTTAAGCTAAAACTTACCTATCCCAGATTTTTTAAAAAATTATTTTATTTTATTATTTAATTTTTTTTTAATTTGATGAGATACCAATTCACCAGGTCTAGAACATGAACCATGGTTGACCATGTGGGAGTCCCGCGCTTCAACCACTATGCCACCTGCCAGTCCCACCCATCCCAATTCTAAAGAGTAAAAATATTTTTTGAAAAATCATTTTTCTCTTATTTCCCATATTTAAATGTCCTTGCAGAAAGGCATAGGGTACTATAGCAGTGAGCATAATACTCTTAGGACCTATGACTATACTCCCCTGGGCATAAAAGGATCATTTTAGAACAAAATCCAAAGTTCTCTAACTCTAATCATCTGTGATTGAAAATAGTTATGACTTACAAAGATACCTATTTATACCTAGCATTCCTTTTTGGGGAGGAACTACTATGGTAAGAATGATCCAATGTTGCTGTTAAATATTGAGCCATTGTGGTAAACAAGGGGAGGATTCATTGTCCACAGCTGGCCAAGAACATGTGACTGAGGCATCGCTGCCACCTGGTGGCTATAGCCTCTCCTGAGCAGTGACCCAACTTGGAGGGACTGAAACTGACACTTTAAAAACCTCATGGGTTGCAGCTAACTCTTCCTGCTCTCTATGTTCCCTGAGAATCTGGGACCTTTTGAGCTCCTACCTTCCCTGCCTCTTCTTGTCTCCTTCATCATTACTTTATTCTTTGATGTCCTCTGACCTTTCCTTATTTTCCCACTCCCTGATCCCCATCTTGCCTTTCACTCATTGGTCCTGCCCTGCTCCTGAGGCTGCTATTCTCTTTCACTAACTTCTTCCTTTCAGAATTTTTATTCCCATTATCAAGGAGGAGGGAGTATGAACGGGGGTAGGAGCGGCTGGGGCCTCCAGTAGAATTAGTGCCTGGTGCCCTCATTAGTATGTGTTCAAACTCCTTTTTTTGTGTGTACTCGGTAATGATTCTAAAAAGGAAAAGCAAGAGAGCCACAGTGCCATCCTTCAGTCCCTGGTCACACTTTTACCAGAGGTGCTGGGCCAGACTGGAGCTTGTGCCCACCAACCCCAAGACTGAGTTTTATATCAGGCCTCCTCATACTGACCCCTCCAGTAAATCTCAGGGACCCAATTCCTACATGATCTAGAAATCTGTGTCCCACTTGTAGGTGCTTCTGATGCCAACAACTGATCTTCAGTGAAGGGCCACTCTGTGCCCAGTACTATCCTAACATTTATGTGTAATCATTTATTTAACTCTCACAGAAGTCCTGCAGTGCGGGTCTTGTTGTTATCTCCATCTTACAGATGAGCAAACTGAGGCCCAGAGAGGTTCAGTAACTTGGGCAAAGTCACATAGTAAGTGGGAGAGCCAGGATTAGAACCCAGATATGCTGAAGCATATATTTCAGGGGATACTAAAACAAGTACAAACTTCTACTTCGAGCATTTAACAGTTTACTGAGGCAGAATGAGAAAAGGGCTCCAAAAGCCTTATTAATAAAGTGTTTTAAGAGTAGTGCAAATGACAGAGATTCATTGGGCTAGTAGTTGAGGAATACCATCATGAAAGAGTCTAGATGCAATGAAAGACAGCTCCCCAAGGCAGAGACACTAGCAGGAGTAAAGAATAGCAAAGGGAAAGTGTGATTACCTGAACTCATGGGTGAGGCCAGGCAAACCAACATCAATTCCAACCAGAACCACCTTCCCAAACTCCTTTTCACTTTTGTCTGTCAATAATTGGCACATTTTCCCAAGGCCCTGCCAAGAGGGGCTCAGCTATGTCTTCCAGAAGGAAGCAGTGTTTTCCAGTACAACCCCTTCCCCAGCTTCCCACAGGCAACAGAGAGTCCAGGTAGCTCTCTCATTCACTGAACATCTGTGAGTCCTCAGAGCCCAGGCCACTGTCCTCGTCAGTTTATTAGGCATAAAGTGTATTATGTTAAAGAATAAAGGAATCCAAACTCCAATCAATGATAAAGTCTTAAACCTGCATAATTCTTTAAGGATTTACAAAACATTATCTCATAATAGTGTCCCTTTCTTCTCCCAACAACCTGTGAATGGGTAATATTGTTCCCACTGTGTGGATGAGGAACCTGGGAAGGCCATATCTGGCCTAGCAGGGAGGGACCAATGAACTCCTCACATCCACCAGATGAACTAACGTATCCTAAGTAACATCTATGCCCTTTCCAAAGTCATGGCGAGGGCATCCATACATCTAATTCAAAACTCCATGGAATTTAACACCACACTCATGAACACACAGCTTAGATTATAAAGCTGGAACTAGAATTCAGAATTTCTCACCCCAAATTTCTTTCCTCTGAATCCTTGAAATACAACCATGAAAAAGAGAAAGTGTTTCACTTTGTTTTGTTTTGCTTTGCTGGTATTTAAAATATAATGGTAAAAGAATGTTGGGATAGCAGCTCAATAGCCTGACGGAAAGATAAATTTGTAGAGCTAATTTGAACACCACTTTTGGATCTCCTGTTATTTTTTTAAGTCACTCACAAATCTTTATCATCTACAATATTATATTTTCTTCTTTTATTAATCCAAAAATAAAAATGAAAATCCAAATGGCTCATGCATTATAAATAAAAAACCAGAATGAAATTCATACAGGTGAACTTTTTTTAAAGTTTAAATTTCAGATCCAATAAATGCACATTGAATAGCTACTAATGTGTATTATATGTATCATTAGATTTTGTTTTGATAACTAAATAGATTTGGGAATATTAAGAAAATAATGATGATTAAAAAAAGGGAGGAAGAGAGAGAATAATAATGAACATCCTTATATTTATTCACAGAAAGACTCTTCTCTGGTCAAAAAAAATCCTTCCCAGGACCAGCAGTTAGCGTAATGGCTATGTCGCTGGACTGTCATGTAGTCGACCACGGTTTGCATCCCGGACCTGGTGGCTTAAAATTCACTCCAGGTGCGTGTGCGTGCATGCCCAAGATCCTGGGAGGAGAAAGGAGGAGAAGAGATTGTGGCGTGACCATCCCCCCAGGGGGTGATTTCTCGCTTTCTGTCTCTCTGTCTCTCTGTCTGGTGAGCGCAAGCGCCCTGTAGCAAAAACCTCTCCAAAAAAAATAAAAAATCCTTCCCTGTATATTTCACCTCACAAATTGGAAATTGTTCATAAACAGAACAACGGCCATTTACTTTTTTTAAATGC